CCTCTAGGGTAGAGCAGCACAACCCCGCCTTCAAAAAAATAATAAAAAAATCCTTGCTGTCTTTTCGCGTCGCCCGGTTTCGCCGGGCGGATCCCCCCGGGCCCAACCGGCCGGGGCCCGCCCAGCCGGGCGGCAGCCCAGCCTAGCTTTTTACTAGTTTTTAGGATTTAACCGTTCAAGAGCTTTGTGTTTTTTTTACCTTTTCCTTTTCGGCATGTGATCCTTTTTGTTCAACTGGGGATGGATGCATGGACGCTGGACCAACTGACGGAACGACCTATGGAACAGTATGGATCAATTGCCGGACCGACCAACTGACGGAAAGAGGAACGGACTGACGGATGGACAGATGGACGGACAGATGGACCAACTGACGAACAGGCGGACCGATGGACGGACAGACAGAGGACTGACAGACCAACCAATCGACGGGCGAACTCACAGACACACGATGCACAGGCGGACAGACTGACCAACCAACCAACCGGCTGATGGACCCACCAACCAGCAAACCAACGGAAGGATGGACCAATGGACAGACAGACCAACCAACAGAGCAACCGGCTGACACACACACACACACACACACAGAGAGAGAGAGAGAGAGAGAGAGAGAGAGAGAGAGAGAGAGAGAGAGAGAGAGAGAGAGGGGAGTACTTGCATATAGAGGGCGGTAAAGATGGGATCAAATGGTTTCAAGGAGAGAGACAAAGAAGGATGTAGAGGTCAGCAACCGGCAGCGGGAGATCAAGAGACAGAGAGAGGCCCTGAAAGGGGGAGAAACAGAAAGACAGCTTCTGGCCGGTAAAGATAAAGTCAAATAGTGTCAAGCAGGGGGACAAAGAAGGCATGTGGGCAGAGGGACAGCAAGAGATCAAGAGAGGCTGATAGAGTGAGAGGGGACGGAAGACAGCCAAGCGGGAGGTAGAGAGACCGAGTGATTGTGTGCAGTGAAGCATGGAGAGAGAGAAAGAGAGGGAGAGAGAGAGGTTGTGGACAGTGACGCATGGAGAGAGAGAGATTGTATGCAGTGAAGAATGGAGAGACAGATTGTGTGCACCGAGAGAGAGAGAGAGAGAGAGAGAGAGAGAGAAGCTGCGGGCGGGGGGGAGGGGGGGGAGATCAAAGAAGGAATGTAAAAACTCGAGATAGAGAGGGTGTGAGAGACAAAGCGGGAGGAAGGAAAACAGACAAACAGACAGACTGACAGACTGACAGACACAGACAGAGACAGAGACAGAGACAGAG